ACTTTTGCAGTCCTGGGGATGGAACTCAGGGCCCCCCGCTCGTGCTAAGCCAGTGCTCTAACGCTGAGCCACACCCCGGCCTTCTTATTTTTGGCAGCCTTGCTCTGTGCTGAGGCTGGCCTTGAACTCGAGTGCTCCTGCCTCAGCCTCCTGGGTAACTGTGACTGCAGGTGTGGGCCACGTGCCAGGCCACAGCTTACAGTCTGTAGCCACCGGGATGCTCTGGGGAGGGGTCGGGGGAGACGTGTCCCTTCATTGCTGCCTGTGGGCTGTGGTCGCTCCCCCCAACCTCAGCTCCTGGGGCCCAGGGTGGTGCCCAAGAGCAGGAAGGGCCAAGAATGTCCTTGCCGCCTGTTTGGCTGGCTTCAGGAGGAACAAGCCCCAGACATTCCTGGCCCACAGAAAGGAGCTGGGATCGGCCACCCCAGCAGGCCCACAGATCACTCTTGGGACGATTTTCTCTCAAGATAATCCCCTAAGTGGCCTCAGAAACGGGTCCCGCAGGCTGCGGCCCACATGCCTCTTTAACCAGCCTGAAAGCAAGACGAGTGTCCCTGCAGCTCTTGGTGACTCCTGGGACATAGACTGCTCCAGTCCCAGGGGAAGGGGCAAAGAGCTTGCTCTAAGTGACACCCGGGCATTACGGGGACGGCGAGTAGGCTCCTGTTTTGCAGTGCGGGGGACGGAGCCAGGGGCCTGTCCTGGCAAGCGCTCGGCCCCTGAGCCACACCCCAGTCCTGGTGGGCATCGTTAACACGGGTAGACGAGGCTGTGTTCCTCCACCTTCCCCAAAGGCTGATCAAGCTCCCAGCTGGGCAGGCCAAGACAGACAGGGGCTGGCCCTGCTAAACCTCCCTGCCCGCTGCCGCCCCGCCACAGGGCGCCATCTCTTGCTGGGACCACTGCAGGAGCCTGCGCGCTGGTCCCCAGGCCTGCTCCCCTTCAGTCTCCTCCTCCGAGGGGTCCTCCCCTGCTCGGCACCCTCCCCTGGACCACCCTCCCCTGGACCACCCTGCGTCCACCCGCTGGCTGTGATCCCGGAGGTGGGGCCAGGAGCGTGGGGAGGAAGTGGAGCAGCGCAGAGCTGGGTGGAAGGTGCCGCTGTGCGGTTGCTCTGGAAACCAGCCTGGAAGTTCCTCGGGAGGAAGGCGGCAGCTACCCCATGACCAAGCTCCTTCCCCAGAAGAATTGAAAACACATGCTCCTGGAAGAACTCGCACAGATTCCAGAATAGTCAAGAAGTGGGGGTCACCTGGTGTCCCTGAGCTGGGGCGCGGGCCAATGAGGCGTGGTCGATGCATACCACTGATTACAGTCTTCTGCCCGATAAAAAGGAACAGGTCGGTCCAGGCTGCAGTGGGGAGGGTCCAGAGAGCACACGCAAGTGACAGAAGCCAGCCATGCAAGTGACAGAAGCCAGCCACGGTGGCCACAGGCTTCGGATCGCATTTGTATGTCGCGCCCAGAAGGGCAGGCGAGAGGCCAGAGTGCGTTAGTGCCCTTCCCTTTGGTGGGGGCAGGGGAGGGGCGGGGATCCTTGCTAAGGGCTATGAGGTTTCCTTTCTGAGGCTGTGGGAATGTTCTGGAACGAGCCGTGGGAGCATTTGAGCCTCCCAGTGAGCACACTGAGCGTCACTCCACTGTGCACTCTGAAACCCTGACGTTTGCAGGGTGCGGGGGGCTCCCCTGGAATCCCAGCTGCTCGAGAGGCTGAGGTGGGAGGACCCCAAGCTTCAGTCCAGCCTGGCCAACTTAGGGAGACCCTGGCTCTCCCGCCACCAGATGGCACATCTAGACATCTTGGGTTTTGGTATCTTTTTTTATTCAGTTTTCTGTTACAGGTCCCGGAAGAGGGCCTGGCCCACGGTAGAGCTGGGGTTTCCAAAGATGGACCCCAGCCACCTGCCCTTTTGCCACTGTGCCCATGAGGAGGTGGCTCTGTCTGGAATGTGCCCCCCCCATGCTGGAAGCTTAATCCCCCACGACCGTGTTGGGAGGACGCAGCAGAAAGATGCTCACAAACACGGGCCCTCCACCTTGGACTTCCAGCCTCCAGAACCGTGAGCCAAATAACCTTCTGTTCATCACAAGTAACCCCGCCAGTGCGATCTGTCACAGTGGCACAAAACAGACCAAGACAGTGACACTCTGTGACGCCTGGGCCTCAGCCTGGGCCTCGGCCTTGAGCTTGATTCGCCCTCCTGGAAGCCAGCGCTGGGAGTCAGTCCAGGCGATCTGCTGCAGAGGCCCTGGCGAGAGGCCCCGGAGGTTGGGAGGCCACGTGGAGACTGAGACGCACACCGCCAGCAGCCAGACGACGGCCAGGCCACACTGGACCTGCAGGGGCAGACAGCACAGCCGGCCACAGCCAGCAGCAGCCACCCGCCCAGGCACCTCCAAGTCGCGGGCATGTGCTAAGCTGAGCGGGTTGAGTCGTTTGCTACCCGCAGTTGGGGATCAATATGATGCTCGATGCTCGATGAATATTCTTTGCAGGAAAGAAAGGACGGAGGGAGGGAGGGAGGAAATCAGCAGGAGGAGGAGGACACGCACCCACAGGAGCCACTGCCTGAGGACCGCAGCCCAGAGCTGTCGTCCTGACTGCACCTTCTGTGCTG